GTCACGGGATCAAAATCTGGACACTTGGCAAGTGGCATGTATTTATGACGGTTGCAGTGTCCTGGGGTCATGTGATCCCCTTTTGTGACCTTCTGACAAGCAAAGTCAGTGGGGAAGCCAGATCCACTTAACAATTGTGTTACTAACTTAACAACTGCAATGATTCACTTAACAACTGTGGCAAGAAATGTTGTAAAATGGGGGCAAAACTCACTTCATAGATGTCTCCCTTAGCAACAGAAATTTTAGGATCAATTATGGTCGTATGTCGAGGACTACCTGTACCTTGGAGATGTTTCTTTAATTGAATGCAATCTGCCATCAGATTAACATCCCTTTACTTCCCAGCTAATGAGGCTGTTTCAAAACCTTTTTGGCACATTTCCCAGCTTGCAGCAACAAAGCTCTGGAGATTTATGAGGAAATGTTCAATTTTCTTGGACTCTTCCCTGAAGTCAGATCCAAAATTGAGAATTATAAGCTGAATAAACATTGGTTCCTCAGAGAAAGAATAATTCTAAAGTGAGCTTGATCTTTGTTTTAATTGCAAAGATGGGAATCTCCCACATGTCAAGCCAAAGTAGGGCCTGCTTTGCACTTCAGAAACCGCAGTGTGGTTTGTTTGCTTTTATCATAATAGATAAGCCCGTTTATTCAGCACTGTCCTCTGTGCAAAGTAGCTGACTATGATACGTTTTGTTCAGCAAACTATGCTTCAAAATCTAATTTACCAGGATTTGGTTCTAAGTTATTGCCATTGGCTTATGGTGTTAAACTAGGATTAAGACGATCTAGATTTAAGTCAGTCTTCAGACATGGTAGCTCACTGTGAGAGTTTGGGTTTCTATCTACAAATAATAATAATAATAATAATAATAATAATAATAATAATAATAATAATAATAATAATAATAATAATAATAATAATAATAATCGCCAGCCAATTTGAATGTTCAGTTGACTGAGGTTCATGTCTAATAAATAAAAGATAACAACAACAACAGTAGTAGTAGTAGTAGTAATAATAATAATAATAATAATAATAATAATAATAATAATAATAATGTTGGAGGGGACCTTGGAGGTCATCTAGTTCAACTCCCTGCTCAGGCAGGAAACTCATACCATTTCAGACAAATGACTGTCCAGTCTCTTCTTAAAAACTTCCAATAGCCCTTGACTTATGACCGTCATGGAATCTGCCCATCATTCCAGGCAAATGCTGTGGTTGATAAGCAAACCAATGGTTCTCTATGGGCTGGTTTTGCCAAAAGCTGGAAGTATATGCCAGTTTTCGGCAAAACCATGGTAAAATGTAGGTCATATGACTGCAGGATATTACAAACGGCTTCCCTGAGGAGCCATGTTGTATAAACCTCAAAACCCAGTCAGCTGTGGGTTGATGTCTAAGTCACATTCACTTAATCCTTTAACACAGGGGTCTTCAAAGTTGGCCCTTTTATGACTTGTGGACTTCAACTCCCAAAATTCGTCAGCCAGCGTGCCTGGCTGACGAATTCTGGGAGTTGAAATCCACAAGTCATAAATGGGCCAACTTTGAAGACCCCTGCTTTAACAGGAAGAGATGACCTCGTAGTGAGCAGCTAAAGAGGCAAGACCCTCCATTAGAAAGCTCATCCCAAAGAACTGATAGAGGGGAATACATGGTATAGGGTTTCCTGCCTGAGCAGGGGGTTGGACTAGATGACCTCCAAGGTCCTTCCAACTCTATGATTATGATTACAATTACGATTATGATTATAAATGCACAGTGGTTCTGGTCAAAATGAAATCTTGCCAGCAGTTTTCAGAGCAGAGACTGATGGGACACTAGGCAAGTGGGCTGTTGGTCAGCATGGAGTTAATTGTATGCTGTAGATTCACTATAGATAGTCCTTGACTTAACAACCATTTGTTTAGTGACCGAAGTGACAAAAGCACTGAAAAAAGTGACTTATGAGTGTTTTCACACTAACAAGTAGTGTGAAAAACTACTTTCGATCGAGTAACAACAGATCCCCCATCCCGCATTCTGCCCCTGCCCTCCCCACGTGTCCTTGGTTTTTAATTCTTGCTTTTAATCTATTTATGTTTTAATGTATATATACTGTTATCTTTTTGGCTGTAAACCACCCGGCATTACCTTATGGCAAGATGGGCGGCCAACACATTTTATAAATAAACAAATACAATGTATAAATAACAACTGTTGCAGCAACACCCATAATCATGTGATCAAAATTCAGATGCTTGGCAACTGACTCATATTTATGACGGCTGCAGTGTCATCATAAATGCAAAAAATGGAGAATTGGTGAGTGTATCATCGAGACAGTCCTCGACTTGCAACAGTTCATTTAGTGACTGTTCCAAGTTACAATGGCCCTGTAAAAAGTGACTTATGACCATTTTTCACACGACGGTTGCAGTGTCCCAGGGTCCCTTTTGTGACCTTCTGACAGGCAAAGTCAATGGGGAAGCCAGATTCACTTAACAATTGTGTTACTAACTGCAATGATTCACTTAATAATTGTGGCAAGAAAGGCCATAAAATGGGGCAAAACTCACTTAACAACTGTCTCGCTTAACAGAAATTTCGGGGTCAATTGTCATAAGTCGAGGACTACCTGTACAAAGAGGGTTAGCTGTTTTTCTTACATTTTTTTGTTACTATGCAGTGAACAGAGTTGTTCTGGGCTGGGCAGCTTCCTCCTCCTCCTCCTTCATCATCATCATCAACATGTTTGAATCTTCTTTAAAAGACCCTCTTAGGACCCTCTTGGTTATTAGGATTGTTATACAATCTAATTTCTGTCACTGTTCATATGACTAGAGCAATTAAAACTAGAGTGATGGCATTTGCATGGCGTGCTAATGATGTGGCTGTTGCTTCGTTCCTTTATGGTTCAGTGCCTCAAGTAAATCTCAAAAATGGGTCATTCCATAACCAGCTAAAATACATTCATGGGAACAGATCTCTCAAAGGGTATTGAGTTACGAAGTATTAATCTACGGGCAAGGCGGGGGGGCGGGGTCAGACTGATGAAAGTTGTGTCATGATGCCAGCTCCCCGCTTTTTCTATAAGATGTCCCATGCATGTCTCAAACGTGAATCAAATTTGATTGCCTATTTCCAGTTGTTTCTGGAAATTTTATTTAATTTATTTTATTTAGCATATGGCAGAAGTCATGCAATATATATATATATATATATGCATACATATACATATACATATACATATACATATACATATACATATACTTGAATCCAGGTGTAAACATTTTTAAAAATCAATAAAATTAGTGAACTCTGGGATATAAAATAACCTTTTTTATTACTGAGCTTTCGTCAACTTACTGTTGACATCATCAGAGTAAGGGCTGAAGATTGGAAGAGCCTACATACACACTTGTGTGACCGTTTTAACGGTCAGGTCACAGAAGGTATAGTCAGCATGCCCGCCACCCCGCTCGCCCACATTTAGCCTCACTAGTTCCGGCTTTGATGTAAAAGCTGATCTCGGTCTGAATTTTGAAAAAACCTCCTCACAGCTGTTCGGTGCATCAATCTCCCTGGGCTGTGCACAGCCGCACATCAGTTGTTAATGTCCTGAGGCGTGCAGTGAGATTGACGCACGGAGCAGCTGTGAGGAGTTTTTTTCAAAATTCAGACTGACACCAGCTTTTACATCAAAGCCGGAACTAGTCAGGCTAAATGTGGGCGAGCGGGGTGGCGGGCGTGCTGACTATACGTTCTATGACCTCACCGTTAAAACGGTCACACAAGTGTGCATGTAGGCTCTTCCACTCTTCAGCCCTTACTCTGATGATGTCAACAGTAAGTTGACGAAAGCTCAGTAATAAAAAAGGCTATTTTATATCCCAGAGTTCACTAATTTTATTGATTTTTAAAAAATATGAGAGATTCAATACAGATAATCTTTGACTTACGACCACAATTGAGCCCCACATTTCTGTTACTAAGTGAGTGAGACATTTGTTAAGTGAGTTTTGCCCCATTTTATGACCTTTCTTGCCACATTGTTAAGTGAATCACTGCAGTTGTTAAGTTAGGGACACAATTGTTAAGTGAATCTGGCTTCCCCACTGACTTTGCTTGTCAGAAGGTCACAAAAGAAAGTCACAAATGGTGATCACGTGACCCTGGAATACTGCAACTGTCATAAATATGAACCACTTAGCAAGTATCCAAATTTTGGTCACGTAACCATGAAGATGCTGCAACAGTCATAAGTGTGAAAAATGGCCATAAGTCGCTTTTTTCAGTGCTCTTTTAACTTTAAATGTTCACTGAACAAATGGTTGTAAGTTGAGGACCACCTGTACTGATGTAATGGCTTCATTTCCTTGCCCTGATGTTTGTCATCTGACCAGCATACACACATTTAAACCAGCAATTGAGCTGTGAATTTTTGCTGTAAATTTTATTTCTTTGCCCACATTCATAAATTACACTGTCAAGGATGAAACTTTGGCAGCTACATGCTCTGCGTTTCAATTTGCCTTTAGAGTAAGGGGGCAGGTGTTAATTCTGAGTGGGTTAGATGGAGAAACAAAACTTCTACGATTCCGCTAAAGACTGTGAGAGCCTAAAACCTTTTCAAGGACACCATAACAGGTGTGGATGTAAAGCAGACAGTTCCCATAGCAAAGTGAACTTGTTCATATGGACTATGTAAGATGTTGGGGGAATTGGCTGAGGAAATTATTGTTTAAGTCTATGAATTGGTGTTGGAACCTCAGAGTTAGTTTTGCTTCGACATTACCATGCAGTGTATTCAATAAAGAGTAAGATTTTTGGAGACGGGATGAATCTGGAGTTTTATTTGGCTTCTCGAGCTGGATGTTGACATACATGCAGTAATCTCTGAAACGACATTGCTCTTTTTTGCAGGCTGCTGTTGTCTCCATCCTTGTGGACAGACAATGGAAGAATCTCTCTCTCTGCCTTGACCAAAAGCCGTCCGTTCAGAATTATTGGAGGAATGAGATGGTGATGTGGCCTTGAGAATCTTTTTCATGTTCAAAATATACTTTTGAAGGTATGATTTTTCAGCTCTTACCTCCTAAAATTCCAAGACTGTTAGACCAAGGCAGGCAGTTGTCTTAAGGGGTGGGTGCTGGTGAAGAGATCAGGGGTCACAGAAATTGCCTGCTTCCCCCTACCCTCAAATAGATCCCCTTAAGTATCTCCAACATGAAGAAGGTTGAGCTCCTCCAATCATTTATTAATGGAGAAATGCAAAATAGCTTTAAAAAGGAAGACCTTTAAGATAAACCATAATACAGGTAGTCCTTGAGATACAACTATTTGTTTAACGACCAAAGTTATAATGGCACTGAAAAAATGTGACTTACAGCCTGACTTTGCACTTATAACTGTCATGTGATCAAAATTCAGGCGCTTGTCAACCAGCATGAATTTACAACTGTTGCAGGTGAATTGTTATTTGTGACTTTCCCAGCTGGCTTCAACAAGCAAAATCAATGGGGGAAGCCAGATTCGCTGAAGGACTGAGTGATTCACTTAATAAGTGCAGTGATTTGCTTAACAAACATGGCAGAAAAGGTTGTAACTTCATTGTTCAGCAATTGGTCCCAATTTTAGTTGTAAGTTGAGGACTACGTGTACTGCTCTTATTTTATTTGAATTATTTTTAGGGATAGTTAGGCCTCGTTAATATTTATTACCTTAAATTTGAATATATGGTTTTACCTTTTTCATCTCAACTGAACTTCGCAGTGGGCTGTATATGTAATGAGAGTACTACAGAGATATAGAATACTTTGAACACTTCAGGTAATAAAACAGATAAATATGCAAATCAAAACAGCAATATTCTTGAAGAGTTATTGCTATACTGTGGATGCTCTTCACCAGAGCTCATTTACTCCATAAAATACCTAAGAATATTCCAAGTAGTTGAGGGCTGCAGTTAGACATGAATGATAGGCACAAGAAGAGCATTTTAATGCATAAGACACTCACATAGTAAGTTTATTTATTTATAATATTTACATAGCCATCCATCTTATGTCCAATTGCTTTCTAATGGTTTTATTTCACCTTTGCATTTTATAAAATGTAAGTTCTGTTATCTCTTTTGAGTTTTGAAATCTCCTACGTGCCGCTTGATGGAAATTGAATGATTTTTGTTTCCTTTTGTGGATCTGAGGTATTTATTGTGGATCTGAGCTGTAGACTTTTAATATGTCAATTGGCGGGGGGAGGTGTTATTCCAGTCTGCTAAGCTGTGGATTTCACCTCTTGATAAATTGTTCACAAAAGCACAGTGAGACTGTCAGTGAAATGGGCCTATTAGTTCTATATTGGAATGCTGCAGAAAAAACCTTTGACTACTGAGAAACAATATATTGTACAGAAAAGATTAAGAAGCATGCAGATTGGACATGCAGATTTACTTTGCCCTTGAGGCTTGGAGTCAGTGACGCAACTATAGTCAATAAAACAATTATCTGGATCTTCTCCAGATGTTTGGGTAAGTTCCTTGTATGTGTTTTCTATCAAGTCTCAGACAGCTTAAAATTGTCATTACCTGTTCTAGTATTAAAGTAGACTTTTCCATTTAGACAGGCAATCAGCTACGATAATTTTACCACAAGTACATCTAATGCAATTCCCTGTCCAGTGTGTTTGTCAAGTGATTCATAGGGAGTGGGATCAATTTAACATCTCTTAGCTGCTTTAGACTGGCGGGGGCATGATACATATTTTCCATCCCCTGGGCACTGATTTCCTTCTGCTCTGGGCTGTAGGCCTATCTGGTCCTTTCAAAACAGACTTTTTCTAGACTGGCCTCTGAAAGGTGGACCATCCTAAGCCGCAGCTGATAAGTGGTGGCGATGATTTTGTGTGTGCATGTTACACAGTAGAACAAGTTACAGGCAGTTCCCGACTTACAACCATTTGCTTAGCATCCATTCAGAGTTACAATGGTACTGAAAAATGTGACTTATGACTAGTCCTCACACTTACAACCATCAGCATCCCCATGGTCAGGTAATCAAAATTTGGGCCCTTGGCAGCCAGCATGTATTTACAACTTTTGCAGCATCCCTGGCTCATGTGAGTGCCATTTGCAGCCTTCCCAGATGGCTTCACACAAGCAAAGTGAATGGGGGAAGCCAGATTTGCTAAGCGGCCTCATGATTCACTTAATAACTGCAGTGGTTTGCTTAACAACCACGGCCAAAAAAAGGTCATTCGTTGAGGACTACCTGCAATAGGCAGTCCATAAATATGAGTTCCAACTTAGGTACAAATTTGACTTAAAAGGCAGACTTAGGAACTAATCTTGTTCTTAAACCAAGGACTACCTGTATCTTTAAATAAACATTCTAAATTCTAAATAGAATTGAAATTTTATTAAACCATTGTCTTCAGGTAGAAGAAAGATTTTTTTTCCTGAGGATTCCTGTTTTTGAGTAATTATTATTATTATTATTATTTATTGAATTTATATCCCGCCCTTCTCCTTGCGGACTCAGGGCGGCTGACAATCAATTAAAAATACACCAATAACAATTACAAAATTAAAATTAGTTAAAAAGAAATATTTAAATGTTGTCTAATTAAAATATGATTAAAAACCCCTCTAAAAATTGCCCTAGGCCAGTCCCGCTTGTTGGAATAGCCATGTCTTGAGG